TCCAATTAAAATGTGGTAGCCGTTTTGGCAGTGTTTCTTAGGAGTGCAGCCTGACCAAAGTCTAGCAACCTTGTGGGCACTCCTGAGGCGTCGTGCCTGCCACCGACTGCAACAAGGATTCCTTTGTCAACATAAGGACTGTCTTCAAGGTCATATGCCTTATCGCGGTTGTTGTGTCCAAGCGATGACCTAAACCGCCGGAGAGGACACAGGTGCACGCAAGCCTACGCGCCTGCCAACTGGTCGCGTGACCTTATCCCAAGCGCCTAATGATGCCGCAAGCGAACGGACATGGCAATCCCTTATAAGTCACCTCTCAGACAGTAAGTTGCATCACACGAACTGCGAGAACACCACAAGTCCGCTCCCGAGGTCTGACTAACGCCGAAGTGGGGACATTTAGTGCACTGAAGATCAACCAGCGGCAACTTCCACCCGAGAAAGCTCCACGGGTTTTGTAAACAATAAACCCTCCTCCAGGTGGATTCCACAGTTATGCCCTCCTTATTGTGTTCTACCTAGGGGGATTCAAAAGGGCGCAACTAGACGGTGACCACACAAAGTGCTATCATGATAATGGTGTTCATTTAGGGCTTTGAGATGCTCATATAGGAATTTTAATTTTTTTTAGAATTTAATCACCAAACAGTGATAGTTCGTCGAATTTGCCATACACATTTCCAAAGATAGATTGGCGAGGACAATTTCCTTCTCCATAGATTATCTTTACGCCTATACATTTTTTATCGTATTTAATAAAGAACACTCGTAGGTAGAACTATGCCGTTTTCAGGGTTAAGCGATACGGGTCAAGTTTGCGTCAAAATTCTGAACTGGTCACCAGAAAACGTAACAACCTCCGTGCGGCTAAATAAACGACCTTTGGTCATGGTAACTGTGGCACCATTACGAAGTTCTTCTATGGCGCACAGGAACACTCTGCGTTGCCTGATGCTAGCCGCTGCTCTTGTAGCCAACGAACGCTGTCCAATAAAACTTGAAAACCTGAAGGTCAATTTGACGGAAATCAACTCTGGCATCCACGCGACAATCTGAGCCCACCTTGTGCGCTAGAATGCAACTGTTAACTTTCCTTATTTGGTACTTTCCTAACCATGATGGAAGATATTCTCGTATTCTTTTGGAGAAATGCCAGCCGCTTCGACCAATACACTCTGATTTACAAGATCAGGTAAATAAATACATTACATAAAAATGGACCCGACTTGTTCTTGCTCTCCTCCTACAGGATGGAGGCAGTCGGATATAGTACGTAGACGTCGGATACTCGGCCGGTTCTCTGACCCCAATTTTGTCCCGTCCCCCGCCCTATCAACCACGCAGTTTTTCCTACCAACCCGCATATTTTATTGAGGTAATTATGAAGTTAATATTTAGGTGTGAGGAGAATTTTTCGAAAACAATGCTACGCTCGCCATTTTTTGAATTAACAAATGAGAATTGTCGCAAATTTAAAACAAAAAGCTTGCTATATTTGAGAGAAAATACTTAATGCTTTTTTACTTCCCCAAACATGCAGACTATCGTCTATGCAAAACCATAAAGGCGGTCTCGATAAATGACGATGACCAGATGCTTACCGACCAAAGTTGGATTTGTGCCCTGTAAGTTCGTGTTATAAACACTCTGTCTGCTTGTCCGCATATTTTGTTTTGTATCTTCTAACATTTGCTGGTCTTTGCCTTTGCCCATGCCCATGTCACTGATAACAGGAGTCTTCATATCCCGTTTGGTAATACTTCATCAGTCG